CAAAAGAGAGCAAATTTAGGAATATAGTTAGGACAGGTATGTGTGGGTTAAAGCCCTTTCAATTTAACCCACTGTGGGCTAGCATTACCATGGGCCTCACCTGGTCTCATAGGCCTGCGTGCCTAGAGCCTCAGTGCTGATGGGTTTTATGGAAGGGCTGCTCATTCTGGCCAAGCCCACAAAAATCATCCAAAATCCACTTAAGGGAGGGGGGACAATGATGAAACCTTATAACTGAGGATATCATTCCTTTACATAAAAGCATCCATTGCTCACTGGAATTCCCCTGTTGTTCCCACAAGACTTCCGCTCACTCCTTGCCTCCCTCATGTTCTCCTCCTGCCTGAGTCCTCCACAGGCCGGAGGAGAATGGGAGGGAGGCAAGGAGTACTTTCCTTCCTTGAGTAATAGGCTATAGCCTCCAGGAACCCTGGAGCACAGATTGCTGTGACTTTTCTCTCCTTTGGCCATCCACTAACACTTGGTTGCAGAACATGTTAGTGACGCATCACTGTGATACCAGTTTTAGAAATGCATGATTGCACTTATGCTAGGAGCAAAGTTAACATGTCTTGTTAGAAGTGCTTTTTGGAGCTTTCTCTTGGATCTCTTTTTTCATGTTTCAATTGATTATCCCTCTTAGAACTTCTCTCCCATGTAAGTGGTACACTAAATGCCTTGGGGCTTCCTGCCACTTGGGAGATGAAGAAAAGAGGCAGGGGGTGTCCCGAAGAAGGGGTCCTGGGGTGGGATGTAAAAACAAACAAACCAGTTGCCAACGAGTCTACTCTGACTTGCGAGATCCCATAGGTGTCAGAGTAGAACTTTGCTGCATAGGGTTTTCAATGGCAGATTTCTTGGAAGTAGATTGCCAGGCCTTTCTTCTGAGGTAGCTCTGGGTAGACTTGAACCTCCAACCTTTTGTTTAGCAGCTGAGAGCATTAACCGTTTGTACCATCCGGGACCTCTGGAGCAGGATGTAGCCTAGGCAAAAGAAGTCCTGTGTCTCCAGCGTGATGATGTCTATCTTACCAGTGTAGAATATTCGTTAGAGATTTGGGGTTAAGGTTGCAGCTCTAGTGTTCCTTGGCCTGGAGTGTCCTCTTTGTCTCTTTCCTTTAGGAACCTGGCAGAGTTGTAGCCATATTATGTGGTTAGTCAGAATTCATTGGCTTGAATATTCTGCTCCTGGCCTCATTATCCTGAATAAAGATAAACCATCTGTAAAATTCCACAGAGAATGAATTAAGCTCTAACAAAGATTTAGGGAGAAGCAAGAAGCACTACACTACTGAACTCAAATCAGTATATGCTGTTTGCAATGTATGTCTGAAAACTTTATTTAATCCCCTATTACAAACTTCTGCTTGAATTAAAACAACAAAACAACTTTCTCCCCTCACCCCTAAAAAGTACGGAGTACAGAGATCTGGGGAAAAAACTTGAGAATCATAAAAGTTTAGAGCTTGATGTGATATTAGCAAATATCTAGTTCACCTCTCTCATTGAAAATGAGGGAAGTGAGGGCTAGAGAGGTGAAGCGTTCCTCAAGACCAAGAATGGGATCTCATTCATAGTGGTACTTTCAGCACCTAGCATAGTGCCAAGTATACGTAGTAGGTGCTCAATAAATATTAATCAAATGAATAAATTCATTCCTTGTTGCACATAGCGCAGTTCTTTGCATGCAGTACGCACCCAAATAAATCTTTTAATAGAAAATATTTGACTAAGGTCATATACCAAGAGAATGGCAGGGTTGGAAAAGCCACCTGGGGCTAGGTCACTGGGTACTGGCCTCAAGCTCAGGAGTCCACATGACTCCCTCCACTTCAGATCAGCCAACCTGGGGCTGATCCCTAGCCACCTGGGGCTAGGTCAGTGGGTACTGGCTTCAAGCTAAGGAGTCCACATGTTGGGGGAATGATCTGCCTCTATGCCTCCCATCCAGACTGCCCAAGTAAAGGCCTTGGGCCCAGAGCATTCTTTGTTAAAGAGGCTGAGAATTGAGTTGCCTTCTCTCTCCCAGTTCCTTCTCCTTATCAGAGAAGCCTTCCTCCTGTTCTGAGCACACAGTAGCTTTCTCTGTCTCTTGCACAAGCTCAGGCACCACGGCCAACCCCACTTCTATATCTATTCCCAGTGGAGAGGGAATGGGCTCTCTAGTTCTACGGCACAAAAGGGGGAGCGGCACAAGAGAGAAAACGTGCCAGATTGTAAGAGTCAGCCTCAAGGCATGGACTGAAGGGGAAACAGGCTTTGTGAGGCCAAACACAGGTGCCTGCATGTGGTCTGCTAGTTCACTACAGTTTGCATTCTTATGTAAGCCCCTGGCATGGAGCTACTATTGTCCACCACCACTATAAAACCTCTGTCTTCCCATTACAGGGGGAGATCTGCTCTGGTACTGCTGCTGCCCAGGACTTGAACTTAGCCTTGTATGTAAGTCTCCCTAATATACTCCTTTGCTGCCACACTGGAATTGTCCGTCTCTTTCTTTGGTCTTTTGACACCCTCCATTTTTTGAGACAAATTTTAAGTTACTGGTTCATGCCTGGACACCACATGACTCCCTCCGTTTCAGATCAGCCAACCCCTTCTTTTATCCCTAGCCACCTGGGGCTAGGTCAGTGAGTACTGGCCTCAAGCACAGGAGTCCACGTGACTCCCTGCACTTCAGACTAGCTGGCTCCCCCTGCTCCTTTTGGTCCAATAATTTGCTGGAATGAATGAATAAATGTTTGTTTTGTCATATGCATCACAGACCCTGGAAAGTTTCCAGCTGGCCAGGATGTCTTACCTTTTGTCCTAGGTATGGCCTTGAAGCGTGAGAGTTGAACGGTGCCTGATCTGTTACTTTAATGGCTAGAGGGTTGCATCTCTTATCAAATCAGACATTGTTCACAAAATGAGTTGTTTTCCCATATTACATCAATATCATCTCTTTGGTAATGTGCTTATTTAGTGCTAGCAGTAAAGGGGTGACACATCCTCTTCATTTACATTGGTATTTCATCAGTCTCAGAGTGACCAGTGCCAAGGCCATGGTCAAGTAGGCTTGGAGAGACGTCAGGTTAAAAAATAAAATTAGTGTTTACTGAGCACTTGGTAAGTGCTCAGTATAGATAGTGTCAGTATAAAAAAATCAGTATCTCTCAGTAATAACTAGTATTTATAGAGCACTTATTAAGGCACTAGGCTAAAAATTTTATGTGTATTATCTCATCTAACCTTTACAATAATTCTGTGAGGTAGGAAGTATTACCATCTCAGTTTTAGAGACGAGGAAACTGAGGTTCAGTGAGGGTAAGGAAATTTGCCAAAGGAACCTAGCCGGGAAGTGTTGAAACCAACACTGAAACTAGGCCTGCCTACTCAAAGTCTACATCTAGCCCTCTAGCCATACATGTGTACTTAAAAGTCATGATGTCCAAGCCAGTTTGTTGCAGATGAGAAAGTATTTCCTGTAAACATACCAGTAGGGCTTATCAGCAATTGGAATTCCACAATTTAATTGCATAGCATGGCATAAAAGACTCTTTGTGATCTAGCCCTTGCCTATATCTCCAACCCCTCCCCTCAACCGTTACCTTTTATTTTACACTTAATAGAACCACACTGCTTCTAGTGCCCTGAGAACCTCATGCTGTCCATGGCTGCCTGCCTTGGAATGTACTATTCTCCTTGCCTCAAATGATCTTCCCCACCATGATTACCTGGCAAATTTACCTTACATCTTTGAGTAAACCTTTCCTAATTTTCCTCTGACAATATTAACCATTCTGTCTTCTGTATCAACCTCTGTACTTTGTATAAAAATTTATGGCTCACTCATTCATTCATTCTTCTTGCCAGCACTGGGAGACAGAATCAAATAACACTTTGGCAGAAGGAGGAGTATATGCTAAAGCATGGACATATACTAGATACTCTAGTAGTTCTCACCAGCTAAAATCAAGAATGAGTTTCAATAGGTCAGGGTGGGTGGGGAGAGAGTGTGTTGGAAGAAAAGTGTGATAGAGTATACTGGGTCAGCTCAAACTTCAGAATCAAAGTATATCTGTTTTGCGGGGGAGGGCGGGGGGAAAGAGCTGGTAATTTGTCTGGGCATTTATTTGAATCAGTGTTCATGCTGTGAAATAGGATGGCATTTGTCCAGCATCTTGGATTGGTTTTGAGCCCTTGTGAGGAGAGGAATTAGGACGAGAAGCTGAGAGAGCTATTTGAAAAGGAGACTTTGAGATAGTCTGGGCACAAATTGTGCTGCTATGGAGCCAGGGAGAGGCCACTCTCCTCACTTCTGCATTGAACTCAGCGCTGCTGCACTTTGTTGGAGAGTGGCAGCTTTCAGCACATTGACTGGTAGCCCCCTGGGCTGTGCATACTGGCATTTTCATAGTGGGCCCTATCAGCAGGGGCAGTGGCAGTGGTGTAGCACCCTTAAATGGCTTCATGAGTGGAGGGTATTGAAAAAATGGAACCAGAGCAAGAAAGGAAGAAAAGAGTGGATGCAGCATGAAGGACTATGGCTGACAGACTGGGTTCATAAGCCTACTGAGAAACACCAGAGCCTTTCCGCTTAGAGTTGGGGCAAAAGCATGACTCTGGGCTACTGAAACATATATGGCTTCAATTATAACCACGAGCTATTGAGTCCTGGAGATACCTGAGTTACACTTTTTTGTCTGCTATGAAGGAACTCTGTCTTATTCATCTTTAGTTGCAGGGCCTGACACAGAGCAACAGCTGACAGAATATTTTTGGATCCATTTGGTAAAGGAGTTGGGAATAGCCAGGGAAAGGTGGGTGGGGAGCATCCCACATACATGCACATGCTAAAAATGTGATCATTTTGTTCTGATCTGCCCAGATCTGAAATAAGAAACAGAAACTGGATTTGTGCCATGTCGTGGGTCCTGGCCCCTTTTGGTTCTGCCATCATGACTGAAGAAGTGCTGAGACAAATTCCGTGACAGTTAGGAAGTGAACTGGTTGCCAAGATGGAGAGGAGGGAAGATTTAATCTTGACCTTCTACAGTCCTGAGGTTCCCAAAATGGAGGGAAACCAGAACTACCAAAGGGTGAGTAGGTCAGATGGGAGGAGGAGGACTTACTTAAAGGTGAGGCTAGACAGTCTCCTAAGGACAGATGGAAAAGATGACTCTGAAAATTTTGTTTTTTGTAAAAGGGGTAGGGAAAGATACCCATAAATCAAACCCACATGGGGAAACAAGGTAGAGAAGAGTAGGAGACCCTGGGATTAGGGGTTATCTTTTTCTGTGGGCAATATTTCCCTCATCCTTGTAGCCTACCCTCCCCACCAACAAACATCTAAGCACCTCGATGTCACCCTAGAGGCGGCAGCAGCATGTGGATCAGACACACAACTACATCCGAATGTTCTGTGGCAGCCTCTGTGGTTTTGGTCTCCTAATCCTGATCTGCATGTCCCCAGTGAACTAGGTGCAGTTCCTGGTGATCAAGAATGGCTTTGAGCTCTATGCAGGACTCTGGACCTCATGCAACCATGAGCTGTGCTGGAGTCACACACCCCAGCCACCCTGTGAGTGCTAATAAATTAAATGCTGCAGGCCCCACCATCCTAGGACTTTCTACCACATCGGCCTTTCATCTTTCTTCCTCCAAAATCTTTTGGCCCTCTCCCCTCCAACCTCAGATTGGACCTCAGCCACATTGTGAATGTAGTCATTGTTTTCTTTGGTATCGTCCATGTACCCTTTCTCCGTCCTACCCCAGGTTGCTCCCTCTTTCCTGAATAATGAGTTGTTACTCTCTTTACTCTCTGGGAAGAATTCCTTTGTCATTTACAACGTGCTAACGTGAAATAAAGGAGCCCTGGTGGCACAGTGGTTAAAGTGCTCATTTGCTAACCAAAAGGTCAACAGTTCGAACCCACCAGCCGCTCTGTGGGAGAAAGATGTGGCAGTCGGCTTCCATAAAGATTTACAGCCTTGGAAACCCTATGGGGCAGTTCTATTCTGTCCTATAGGATCGCTATGAGTCAGAGTCAACTGGATGGCAGTGGGTTTGGTTTTTTGTTTTAAGGTGAAATAATGTGATTGACATTCTAATGTGGCTTGTAGAAACAGAAGAGAAGTGATTGATCATAGCTGGAAGATGAAGCAAAGTGTCTCGACCTCCTTGAGATTTAACTTTCAAGGTCAGCTTGTTCTTTTGCTAGCAGTAGAAGAGAACATAAATGCATGTCAGATATATAGTATAAAAAACAAATGCCAGCTATTTAGAGTTAATTATTTATGTTAAATATTTGTGATTTTAAATATATTTGAAAACGTAACAGAAAATATTTAAAAATAAGCTTCTAGGCTAGAAGAGATACATGCTCTAGTTTTTCAATAGGAACAAAGACTTAGAGGAAAGACATAACTACCCTAAACAGTTTTCCCATCACCCAGAAGATATACATTTAGACAGAGAAACAGGTATTGTAAAGAAAACATACATGAGCAAAGTGTTTATTTCTCCTTTTAGATAAGCAAGGGTCACAGATGATGGGGAGAGCACCAAGGTCCAATTGTAGTGTCAGTTATTTGGCCATGGGCTGTGGCATTTCCAGCTAGGGGGCAAGGTGCCAGAGGAGTACCTTGGGAAGAAACTGAAACCAAAGGCAGACTGGCAATTCAACTACATCTTCAACTAAAAAGAAAAACTAGAGAAAAGATTTGCAACAAATATGAAAGATAAAAGGTTAATGATTTTAATACACAAAAGGATATACAAATTATTAGAAAAAAAAATAATGACCCATACTAAATACAATTTTTTGTGAACAGAGATTTCATAAAACAGGAACTACAAACAGTAATAAGCATAGGAAAAATAATTTTAACCTCAATCAATCATTTAAAAAAAGGAAGATCAAATGAACAAAGAGATTCAATTTTTCAGCCATCAGATTAATAGAGATTTTTTTAAATGATAATGCATAAGGCTATACACACCCATATACACTGGGGACTATGTAAATTGGTATAACCAAAGCAATACGGTAATGTGTATCCAGAGACTTAAAAATGTTCATCTCCTTAGACTCAGTAATTCCATTTCTAAAAATTAATTCTAAGGAAATAATTAGAAATGGAGTAAAAGATTGAAGTATAAAGATTAAGCTGCAATGATATTTATGTAATTGGGTGTCCAGGCTAGAACTCAGGTCTTAAGATTATTACTTAATTCTTTAATGAGTTAGAATCTAGAAAAATTGTCACTTAAAACAGCAAATAGTTTATTTCTTGGAGCTTTGAGTTCACCTTTGAAGCAGACTGACAAAGCCAACTAAGTGAGTCCCTTCGGAACACAAGTATAAAGCAAGTATCCACCCTTTCTTCCAGTGTCAACTAATCCTACTTCTAGGGCCAGTAATTAGTTTGCCATACAGATCTCATAAGGAATCCCAAAAATGTAATCAGGATGTACAAGTCTCATCAGCCTGTGACAATTATATGTTATTATTGCCCAGACACATTATTGTCTAAATTCAAAGATTTCAAGCTCTTACTTACTGGACTTTAAGACTTTAGGGCCCTCTCCCCTTACCCCCAGTCATTTCTAAGAGTTCCAGACAGGCTATGCCAGGTGGGCTCAAGAAGGTGGGCTCACCTTTTTCTGTCCTGGACTCACTTCAGGCCATCCTGCCTCTGTCTCTGGCCTCACCTCGCTCCAGATGACTGGGGGCCTTGCTGCCATAGCCGTTGCTAACGGGATGAAGTGGGGGCAGGGTGAGAGCAGTAGAAAACACTATCTTTCACTTTACTACTAGGTGTCAAGTGTGAACAGACTCTTACCTTAATTCCCCACAGCATAGGTGGGAGCAGACTGTAAAGTAAAGGAATGTGTTGCCACAGAAAGCCATAAGTGTTTTGCAGCAGGTGAAGAAGAATCAAGATGCCGGACACTCCAGAGCTAGGATTCTGGAAATCACCACACAATAAACATTGTGAAGCTGTGTAGGGATGGAATGCTTTTTCCTGGTCCTCCAATTGAGTTACCAGGGCAGATTTCATAGCCTCTTCTCCACCATGCTAGGTTTCCACCCAGGATCTTTTCCATTCCAAAACCACCCTTTTGGGCACTTCCCCTGAGTCTGGGGAGGTTTTGCCTTGCCTTATGTGCCTGGAATAAAGGCATAATGGCAGGAGCATGGAGGCTTAGATTTGGCTTAATGAATGGGCTGATTCCCCAGCTTGTCTGCAGTAGCACCTTCTTCATTCCCCAATCAGTATCTACCTCTGCCACCCTACTCCATGTAGCTCCTTCATAGCTAAAAGGAGGAAGATCCTTACTCCTTTTGGAGCACTGCCTCCCTATCCTGGCTTTGATTTTTGCTGAAGGGCCTATTGTGTGAAAAGGAGAGCCCCACCACCAAACCCCTTTGGAATAACTGGGTACCAGGTGCTGTTGCTGTTGTGTGCCGTCAAATCGATTCTGGCTCATAACAACCCTATAGGACAGAGTAGAACTGCCCCATAGGGTTTCCTAGGCTGTAATCTTTATGGGAGCAGTTTCCCAGGTCTTTTCTCCCATGGAGCCGCTGGTGAGTTCAAACTGCCACCCTTTCAGTAAGCAGCCGAGTGCTTAACCATCGCACCACCAGGTACTTAGCTTTAATATGGCTGTCTTCTGTCCTCTGTTTCTTTCTTCTGATGTTATCTTGGCTTCCCCACCCTCTCCTTCCAGAGTGTCAACAGCCTTAGAGAAGAGCATCTAGTGCTAACCAAGTCTAGTTGTTCACTAGGGTCGGGTGGTTTATAGCCCTGCCCCTCTTACTTTCCAAAACTTCCCCAACAGTAGAAGGAGATCCTAACTGATGAGTTACCAAACGGTGAGTGCTATTTCACTGAGTTCTGAGGGGAGGCCACAGAAACACTGCTGCTTTCTGGTTGAGTAGTGCCCCCCTCCAGTCTTAATAGCTTTTAAATACTTCTTGATGGTGCTCTGAAGTGCAGAATCACTGGGTGGTCTGATCCTGAGAACCCAAGCAGAGATCTTGCCAAGCTTTTCAAATAGTTTGGGCTTCTTCCTCTCCAAATTTAAAGCGGCATCACCCCTCTTCCCAGGGTATTAGCTTCACTGCCTTCAGTGAACTGGGAGGCTTGCCTTGCTATTTCTGCAACATACTTTGGACATATTATCTGGAGGGACCAATCCCTGGAGAAGGACATCATGCTTGGTAAAGTAGAGGGTCAGCAAAAAAGAGGAAGACCCTCAATTAGATGAATTGACACAGTGGCTGCAACAATGGACTCAAACATAGCAATGATGTGAGGATGGCGCAGGACCGGGCAGTATTTCGTTCTCGTGTACATAGTGTCATTATGAATGAGAACCAAACACAACAGCATCTAACAACAACAAGCTCACATTGAAGTATATCATTGAGGAAAGCTTTGAAAACCTTTGGATACAGGTGACCCTGGTGGGTGTTCCTTTTATCTATGGCACTGCTCTCTTTGGTCCAATGCTGCTTACTGGAACTTACAAGCAAGGCCTTTTGTAACTTAGGTCTTAAGATCTTTGAAACTGATGGGATCTACGGTAAAAACTATCATTTAAAAGCTGAAATTGGTTTTGGTCTTATAGGTGATGGAGGCTTGAATTCAACTTTCGGGCCTTTATTTTGCTTAGATACATGAATATAAAACTATGAAGTTAATCAAATGGAGGTGTTTTTGGCTCTGAAGCTAAGTGTTCTGTTTGGTTATGTTATGTAACTTGTGTTTATGATTATGACTAGTAATACTTGGTTACTTTGGGGGCGGTTGAAGGGTTTAGATTCTTCTGTAGTACAAATCTTTAGTTGTTCCTCTGGAGTTGTGAGGGATCTTGTTTATGTAGTTTTCAGGCAATGAGAAGCTAAGACAGAGAAGACTGTAAGAAGAACTTGACGGTATAGTCTTCCCCGCATGGTAGAAGAGAGAATGTGTAAAGGAGCTGGGCTCGGTGTTTTAGATGGCGCTCTCTTGTGTTTTAAATATTGGAACCCATTTGAACTAGTGTAAGCTAAAGAATGAACTTACAAAGATTCAGTAGGATCTTATAGGCTCCCAAGGGCAAGAGTGAACTTACAAAGATTCAGTAGGATCTCATAGACTCCCAAGGGCAAGAAGTTGACTAGACCTCGCGGAAGGCTGAAATCTCAGAAGTAGAGACCTTCAGAAATCAAGCCAGTCAACCACTCAGTCTCTCTGGAGTTGTCACTCATCTTTGTTTATGCTTTGTTTTCTCTCTACAGTTCAGTTGTCATGTTTATTAATGTGCAAGTACCTGAAAGGTGACACCCCAGCCCAGCTTTACTTCTTCCTAGTTCAAGCAAGCCAAAGAGAAAATTAGCATCAATGAGTCCCGAATCTAAATTTCCAAGCTTAATAATCAAATTGGTCCAACTTGGGTCAGGTGCTCTTGCTTGCTATAATTAGCTAATGCCTGAGGGCTATAGGCAGGAGTCCAGGACTATAGACAAGGGTTACTAAGTCCTGTGGGCTGCTGTGGGCTAAATACCACAAAAGATGCCTCTTACAGGCAATAGATAAGTGGTATCTCGGGTGAAGGGTGAGACAGTACACAATACAGGAGAAACTAGCACAACCTGTACAAGGAAAGGTCATGGAGGCCCCATAGACACATCCAAGCGCCCTGAGGGACGGAGTTGCTGGGCGGAGGGCTGTGGGGACCATGGTCTCGGGGAACATCTAGCTCAATTGGCATGACACAGCTTGTAAAGACAATGCTCTACATTCTACCTTGGTGAGTAGTGTCTGGGGTCTTAAAAGCCTGTGAGCGGCCATCTAAGATACTCCACTGGTCTCA